GCCCTGGGTCCTATGGCCCAGGAGTCTAGGGCCCTGGAGACCGGGGCCCAGAATTCTTGCACCGCGCAGTCTAGGGCCCAGGCGCCTAGGGCCCTAGAGTCGAGGGCCCTAGCGTCGAGGGCCCCAGAGCCCGGAGCCCTGCAGTCTAGGGCCGAGGAGTCTAAGGCCCATGAGCCCACGGCCATGGAATCTGGGGCCGAGGACTCTAGGGCCCAGGAGCCTAGGACCTAGTGGTCTAAGGCCCAGGGTTTCTGAAGCCCTGGAGTCTAGGGCCGTGGAGTCTGGGGCCCAGGAGTCCGGGGCGCTGGAAACTAAGGCCCAGTAGTCTAGGGCCCTGGAGTCTGGGGCCCTGGAGTCGAGGGCCGAAGGATCTGGGGCCCAGCATTCTAAGGCCCTGGAGTCTAGGGCCCAGGAATCGAAGGCCTTGGTGTCTAGGGCCCAGGATTCTAGGGCATTGGAATCTAGGGCCCAGGAGTCTAGGGCCTTGGAATCTGAAGTCTTGCTCCTTTGACTATAAGGCTCTAGGGCCTAGGAGCCGAAGGCCTTGGCCTCTAGGGCCTGGGAGTCTAGGGCCCAGGAGATCAAAACCTATGGCCCAAGAGTCCAAGGCCCAGGGACGCAGGGCCCAGGAATCTAGGACCCAGGGGTCTAATTAGGGCCCCGGAGGGCCCAGGAATCGGGGGCCTTGGAGTCTAGGGCCCAGGATTCTAGGGTTCTGGAGCTCAGGGCCCGAGAATCTGCGGCCAAGGAGCCGAGGGCTTTGGACTTTGGGGTCCTGGATTCTAGAGCGCAGGAGTCCAAGGCCCCGGAATCGGTGCCGGAGAAACCTGTTGCCTTGGAGTCTGGGGCCCAGGAGTCTAGGCCTCTGGAGGCTGGGGCCCAAAGGTCCAGGGTCAGGGGAATCTGGGGCCCAGGCGTCCAGCGCCCTCGAGTCTGGGGCACGAGTGTCTAGGGCCCAGGGGCCCGGGGCCCCGGTCCCTGGGGAGCAGGAGTCCACGGCCCTGGCGTCTGGGGCCCAGGAGGTCCAAGGCCCTGGAGCCTCGGAGTATGGGGCCCAGGAGTCTCGGGCCTTCGATCCTGGGGCACGGGAGCCTAGGGCCCTGAAGTCTGGGGCCCAAGCGGGGGAGGAAGCGACGACACGAACAACGAGACGAACGCCCAGAAACTATGGCCATGGCGAGGGGGGGGCACAAACGAATCGAAGACGAAACGAAAAGCGGAACGAACACTCCATCGACGGAAGAGGCCACGGCTGAGGCTGGGGCCGAGGTTGAAGATCAGGCTGGGAACGCAACAACAATAACGGGGGGGAACAATGGAACGAACAACGAAACGAACGCCTGTAAACGGTGGCCATGGCGAGGGGGGGACAGAAACGAAACGAACAACGAAACGAAACGAACGCCCATAACTACGGCTGAGACTACGGGAGAGACTGGGGCCCTCGGTGAAACTCTGGCCAAAAATGCAACACAAGCATAAAACAGCAACATCGAAACAGAAAAAGAAACGAACGCCACAAAACTACTGCTCAAGCGAGGGAAAAACTGCCCGGCCTCGAGCCACCGGAAACGAACAATAACATAATCAACAACAACAACAACAACAACAACAACAACAACAACAACAATCATTTTACCCGAACGCTCAGTGTTCTCACCAGTGCCAGGGTTTTCATGCGACGCGAGACAATACCCCCACTTCGTGGGGGGGCAGTTCAAGCTCTACCAAATATCCAAACGACTCTTCGCGACCACCCAAACCCAGCTTCCCGCCCTATGACGTTGGGACACTTCACTTCGTGGCGTGCGGACGACCGTGGCTACTACACTGGCGTGGGGTACACACCCACAGAACTTGGTCACTTATTCGGGGCGCGCGTGTGCCCAGCATCCTGCAATTGTGACATACAATACATGACACAGACAGACAGAGAGAGAGACAGAGAGCAGACATAGAGAGAGACAGAGAGAGCGGAGTTGGTCACATTTTTGGGGCAAGTTCCTGAGATCGTCGTGTTTTTTGTTGGTCTTGCGCGCGCGAATGTCCACTTTACTTTTTTTTGCAAGGGAGTATTGAAATTTGATTATGTTAGAACAAGAAAAAGTAGCTCGCGCGAGCTCATGTAACATAAATGTTGAAAAACCATTGGTTTTGTGGGAGTCGGACAGCGCGCGCGGGATGAAATTTGGACATTTTTTTTTGAAAAACCATTGGGTTTTTGATGTTTTTATGTTGAAATCGCTACGAAACCTAAGGTTCTGGAAGGATTTCGTCTTGCGCGCGCGAATGTCCACTTTACCTTATTTTTTTGCAAGGGATTATTGAAATTTGATTATGTTAGAACAAGAAAAAGTAGCTCGCGCGAGCTCATGTAACATAAATGTTGAAAAACCCATTGGTTTTGTGGGATTCGGACAGCGCGCGCGGAAGGACATTTTGACAATTTTTTCTTAAAAAACCATTGGGTTTTTGATGTTTTTATGTTAAAATCGCTACGAAACCTAAGGTTTTGGAAGGATTTCGTCTTGCGCGCACGAATGTCCACTTTACCTTATTTTTTGCAAGGGATTCTTGCAATTTGATCAAGTAAGAACAAGAATTTTCATTTTATAGTGTTTTTTGCAAGGGAAAACGGAGTACAACAAAACAACCGGATCCGGTAACAATCCACTTTTCTGAAGCTTTCGCTAGAAAATGAAGGAAATGAGCTGCGGCCTAGGTTTTGGAGGGGGGTCGCGCACCAGGGGCCCCAACAATAATTATTCTTAAGAAGAAATAATGTTCAATCATTCTACCCGAACGCGTGGTGTTCTCCCCAGTGCCAGGGTTTTCATACGACGCCAGGCAAATACCCCCACTTCGTGGGGGGGCAGGGCATTACAAGCTCTACCAAATATCCAAACGACTCTTCGCGACCACCCAAACCCAGCTTCCCGCCCTATGACGTTGGGACACTTCACTTCGTGGCGTGCGGACGACCGTGGCTACTACACTGGCGTGGGGTACACACCCACAGAACCCAATGGTTTTTGGAGATTTCGGCGTGCGCGCGCGAAGAAGAAACGAATGTGTCCCGCATGGTATTATTTGACAGGGATGATGGCCCTGGCAGGTGCGCAACCGTTGTCGCAGAAGTTCGAAAAAGTTGCTCGCAAAAGCCCGTTTGACAGAAATGTTTAAAAAGTGTTGGGTTTCCTACGAATCCGCAAGAGCGCGCGGGATGAGATTTTGACATTTTTTTGTTGAAAAACCATTGGTTTTTTGATGTTTTTATGTTAAAATCGCTTCCGAACACTAAGCTTTTGGAAGGATTTCGTCTTGCGCGCGCGAATGTCCACTTTACCTTATTTTTTGCAAGGGATTCTTGAAATTTGATTATATTAGAACAAGAAATGTCATTTTATAGTGTTTTTTGCAAGGGAAAACGGATTACAACAAAACAACCGGATCTTGATCACCTCGAATTACCTGAGGCTTCCTCACGAAAATGATGAAAACGTGGCTGCGGCCTAGGCGCGGCGGGGGGGGCGCGCACCAGGGGGCCCAACAATAATTATTCTTTAGAATTAATAATGTTCAACAACAACAACAACAACAACAAATACAACAACAACAACAACAACAACAACAACAACAACAACAACAACACGAAGAACGGAACGAAATATTAGGCAATCAACGGCGCTCCGATTCCACGCAGTCAGAACATGTAAGCACGACGGCGGCGCGACACGAAACGAGCAACCAAACGCACCACGGAAAGAACGGAGCAAACAAAACAAAACACGAAGCGCAACCTTGGAACCGAGGCAACACAAAACGAACAACGGAACGCTCAACAAACAAAAAAACAACCGCGCAAACTTCATGCGCGCCTGCAGCAACAACGAACACCGCAACGGAAAAAACAACGAATAACCAAACAACACACCAGACAAGGGTCAACACCGAAATCTTTTGCGCTTCTTAAAGTCGCGCCGCTGTTAACTTCGGTTACTTGGGCAACAATCTTTCACACCAGTCGTCGCGCTGTGGTCGACCATTGGCGTTCCCAAAAAGGGCTCCGCCGCGTCGCCGCCCGCAGGGGGCGCCCCGTGGGCGCCCCCGGGCCCCGCTGGGTGGGGGGCCTGCCGAGGGCCGAGGGCTCTCGCCGCCCGCGGGCGGCCCGTGGGCGCCCTGCGGGCGCGCCGGGTCTGGCGTCGCCGGGGCGCCGCCCGCGCGTGCCCCGTGGGCGCCACGGGGCGCACACCGCAGAGCTCGCACCACGTGCTCCAGAGTTCGTGATAAAAGGGAGGGGGTCTGGACCCTCCAAGACAAGCCATTTCAGACCTCCCCCGTGGGAGAACCCTCCAAAACATCGTCCCCAGACCCCCCCCCCCGGCCCTCCAAGATGGCCTGGAAGAGACCCCCCCCCCGAAATGAGACCCCCCTCCCTTTATTACGAAATCTGGAGTAGCTTGCGCCAAGTAGCTCGAGACACGGACGATGCATCGAACAACTCGCCCCGGATAGCTTACACGGCATAGCATGCACACAGCTCACACTACACAGCTTGCGCCAAATGGCTTGCTGCCAGCGCCAAGGCCAGAGACACCAAAGTGGCAACGTAGTACGAGGAACATCGATGCGCTGGCCGCCTTGCCTTTCACGTTCGCCTCTCCGTTCCCCTCTGTTCCCCCTCCACCTTCCCACCCCATCATCACTGTCGTCCTCACGATGTCCTCCTCCTTCCGAGTGAGAGAACGAGCGGCCGCTGGCACTTGGCGGCCTCGACTGGGGAGGGAGAGGCGAATCGGAGGGGCATCACGAGGCATAGATAATAATGAACATTGAGCGAACGAACGGTGGCAGACACGCAATGCAAGGTGTTGGCGCGAACGAGCAGAAGAGCATTCAATGTTTCCTCGACGTGCGAGCCACTCTTCTCGTCCTGCTCCGAATACACAGTACATATTTGCGGTGAGGGCCACCAACAAGTGAAACTAAAGCAGCCCCTCTCAATCGTCGCTGTCGTCATCGCCTTCCTCATCTTCAACCTCAACCTCGTCTTCGTCATCATATTTCAGTACTCCTTCGAATTGCCTGGCTTCGTCCCCGGCCTCAGCTGTACGGACCTGGCGGCGCTTCACGATGTCACAAATATCCCGCGTGATCTGGCAGCAGTAAGCATCCATTGGCAAATCGTTGGCGTCGGTGCCGAACGGGTTCTCGATCTCCACGGCAAGGTTCTCCAACCCAATCACCACATCACAATAAAACATAACAAACAAGACGGTGTACCACCCGTTGTCTTTTACCAGAAAGAACGGGATTGGCATGCAGTAAACGAAAATGGCGGTGTGCACATGCGTGATGTACGCATACGGCATCTGGGTGTACAATACTTTCTCCTGAGCGGCCAGAAACCTCAATCTGCCCGCCCGCCCCTGCTGGGATCAGCCAGCCCGAGCCACACTTGATTCCCATGACGCCTCGCCCTCTGGAGGATCGACGAAACATCCACAAAACGGTGGCCTCAAGGACGTAAGCATCCGCGAAGTCTATGTCGCATGGATCGGCATGTGTCTGCCTTCGACCTCACCTTTGCCTCAGCATGTAGCCAGCGCAGATCGAAAGCCCCGCCAATCGAAAACATCATCACGCCAACGGTAACTAATGATGTCACGTTTGCTCGAACGGCTAATCGGGAACACTGCCAAGAGCCTATGCGAACGGTCACTTCCTTGAAACGATCCCCATCTCCAGAGAAGCTAGACCCTGGACGGAAATACGTCACAATAGAAATGGCCACAGTTGGCCACACCGCCCAGAACCTGACGAAGATCCCGGCAATGTTCCCTCGCTTCCAGAAGGGGGCGACGCGCAGTTGCCACAAACCCATTTCACAACCTCGTGCCCCGGGCGTGTTGTTTGATGGGACTGATTTCCACCACCACTACCATATGTTGGAGAAGGAGGAGGAGGAGAAAGAAGAGGAGGAGGAGGACCTCTCCCTCCGACCTATGGTAGTGGTGGTGGAAACCAAGCCAATCGTTGTTTCTCGCTCGTCCGCCAGATCGCGCCTCTGCTGGAGCTGCCCTGCCGGCAAGCCGCGTGCCATGCCACGGGGCACGGCGCGAGGCGTCCCCAGGCGACAGATTCTAAGCGCGGCGTGCCCGGGTGAGGCCCCAACGATTCCAGCAGGTATGGGGAAAGTGAAGGTCGTATAGGGTCGTATATCGGGGAGACGTAAGACCCGGGTACGGGAGACTCGGAAATCCCCGACGAGGTCGTCAAAAAAATGACGAGGCCGAGCCTGCATTTTGACGAGGCCTCCCGCTGCAGACATCCCACAAAACTCATCCTCGTCAAAATCCGAGTCGCGGTCGTCAAAAAACGATGGCGAACCCGAGTCCTGGCAAACCCGGGTCTTACGCTCCCCCGAGTATAGGGTCCAAGGCTTTAGGGTCTTAGGGATACGACCGCATTGAGATAGAGCACCCTGTATCCCTTCAAGGTTTCTCATGACCTTGGAAACGCGTGTCCAAGAAGGGCTCGGAGAACCATCGGGGGCTGTGGGAGCCCTCCGTCCCTCGCCCCGTCCCTCGGTTCCCTCTCCCGGGGGATGCCCGCGGCGCGGCGCCGGCCACCCGGATCGCCCTCTCTGCGGGACTGCAGCTCGGTGGGCTTCGCATGCTCGTAGAGGTACGCGAGGCCCTCGGGCGTCAGCAGGCTGCTCACGAGGTCCTCTGCGAAAGGGTGGGGGGCGCGGGCCTGGCCTCGCAGGTGCTGCGAAGGCGCCCTCATATGAAACTCGAAGACGAAGACCTTGACACACGCGGGCCATTGCTCCCAGGCAAACCCACTTGGAGGGGCTACTTTACAAGAAGCCAAAAGCGTTAAGGGCCAGGGAAGGGGTCCAGCAATCCGACTAATCGTAAAACCCCGATTGCACAACGATCACGATGCCCCTGGCAAAGGTGCCACTTGACAGCACACCGCGCTGCAGACTGCCCATAGCATCACTTAGCAATGCAGCGACAATCTGAATCCCTGTATGTTCGAACCGACGCTCGCTGCAGCAAGAGGCAGGTGTCACATGAGGAGGACGAAGGGCAGAGAAGGAATGCCGAGGTGAAGAACGACGAGAGAGGGAAGGCGCAACATTCGCCATTTTGGTCCAAAGCATCGTTGAGGCTCGATGGGGCAGAGCTACGTGATTCGCCGCGTGGGCCCCACATGTCTAGACACGTCTATCAACCATGCACTTGGCCTCATGCGGATTTTCGGCCAAAGCCATCACTTCTCCTCGCGCAGATCATCAGCACACGAAGCCGCGTGCAAAACCCCACAACGGCTCCATAGCTGACGACGAGCACATCGACCTGCTCGGACATAGTCCAAACAGTCTTCACGACTCCTTGCAAACTTCACGCTTCTTTTCCCATCGCCGCACGAGTCATGAGGATCAAATTTGCCTCTGAGCGCCAGCATCTGGCACCCGAAAAGTTTTCCCAGATGCGGCAGTCAAAACACCGAATGGCAACATACAAAGAGTTGCCGATACATCTCCGGCCAAACACGTAATGTGTCTACCCTTTCTCCGTGCCGATCCTAACCCCGCTCTGTATTTCGACCAACCGAAGATCCACGAATGACTACCTAATTACCAGATCACTCCAACCTAACCCGAAGACCCAAATTTCGGGTTGGTGGGGTACGGGTTCAACATGTGTTTTTGTTCAATGTTCCCCGACGCCCCCCCCCATTGGGAATGGATGGTAAATTTGGGCCTTCGGGTTGGGTTGGGGTGGTTTGGAGGGTGGTGAACTACAGCGAATCACCAGATAAGCATCAGATCCCCCCCAGCCAATGGACTCACAACCGCTGGACTCCCCGCTGCCATGCATCAGACGGCCTGCTCGGGAGGGCAGTGCATGTTCGGGGCGACTGTGCGCACGCATCCTCTTCGCCACTACCCCAGGAAGCATTTAAGAATCCCCCCGGCGATATCGTAGCACCGCATTTTTTATTCGATATTCCAAAAGGGCCGAAATAACCGAACGATAGCTGTAGCACCCGGACACGATGATGATGATGATGATGATGATGATGATGGTGATGATGGTGATGATGATGATGATGATGATAATGATAATGATAATGATAATGATAATGATGATGATGATGATGATGCTGATGATGATGATGATGATGATGATGATGATGATGATGATGATGATGATGATGATGATGATGATGATGATGATGCGGATATGGATGATGGTGCGGAAGGGTTATCGATTTGCCGGAGGGGGGGGGGTTCTTAAATACGACCCGTTCGAGCAACGCGGGGCGGCAGAGCACCCCGAGCGCAGCCGAACGCACGGCGCCACCCGAGCGCGTGGCCAAAGCAGCGCGGCCCACGCCGAGCGCCCCCGCCGAGCGGAGCCGCGCGGCGGGCCGGGCGAGGAGGCGCGAGCGAACGTCGCGGGCCGAGCGCTTCGCAGGGGGTGCCACCGCGGCTCGAGAGGGTGGAGCTGGACTTCTGCTTGCTCCCGCACGGGCTCGGGGCAGGAGCAGGAGGGGCGGGCCACGAGTCGTGCCGGGAAGCAGCGGACTGGCGAGGCAAGTCGCCAGGCACGCCAGGTAGAGAGAGAAAGGTACATTCAAGGGGCAGGCTGTGCCCCGGAAGAAATCCAGATCTGGAGAGGACGTGGCAGCCGAAGGAGTAGAAGAGCCGAAGGAAGAGGAGGAGGAAAACAACGAGAAGGAAGAGAAGGAAGGAGGGGGAACAGGGGAAAGGGGCAACGGCGTTATGCTCGCGTGCATCTCCCATAGTCGAACCAACCGTGTGTATAACGATGCCCACCGCAAAGGCGAGCCAAGATGAGAGCATGTGTACATCTCATCTTAAGCCCACTGCACATCGCAAGTGATGGAAACGTGCCCGGAACAGTCTCTTGGTCGAAGCCTGCTGGCGCCAAGTCGGCGGTCCCCTCCGCGAGCGGCGTATCCGCGAGGCGCTCTCTGCGCGGGCAGCAAGCGCCGCCGCGAACGGGCACCCACGGCAAGGATCCACCCGAGAGTCCGACCTCGCCTCGGACCTCCTCCTCCTCGTCCTCCTCCTCCTCCTCCTCCCTCCCTCCTCCTCCTCCTCCTCCTCCTCCCTCCTCCTCCTCCTCCTCCTCCTCCTCCTCCTCCTCCTCCTCCTCCTCCTCCTCCTCCTCCTCCTCCTCCTCCTCCTCCTCCTCCTCCTCCTCCTCCTCCTCCTCCTCCTCCTCCTCCTCCTCCTCCTCCTCCTCCTCCTCCTCCTCCTCCTCCTCCTCCTCCTCCTCCTCCTCCTCCTCCTCCTCCTCCATCCTCCTCCTCCTCCTCCTCCTCCTCCTCCTCCTCCTCCCTCCTCTCCCTCCTCCTCCTCCTCCTCCTCCTCCTCCTCCTCCTCCTCCTCCTCCTCCTCCTCCTCCTCCTCCTCCTCCCCTCCTCCTCCTCCTCCTCCTCCTCCTCCTCCTCCTCTCCTCCTCCTCCTCCTCCTCCTCCTCCCTCCTCCTCCTCCTCCTCCTCCTCCTCCCCTCCTCCTCCTCCTCCTCCTCCTCCCTCCTCCTTCCCTCCTCCCTCCTCCTCCTCCTCCTCCTCCTCCTCCTCCTCCTCCTCCTCCTCCTCGGCGGATGGGGCCTCGAGTGCGGACGGTACACCACAGACCGACGTCCTGCCGCGCAAAGCTGCGCGAAGTGGGACGCATGCGCGACGGTCAATCGAAAGCCTCAAGGCGGCCTCCTGGCCGCTCACAGCAGAATCCAAACAGCCCAAGCCGCCCTGGACGTTCCGAGACCGGCCTAGGGTGGCCACAAGACAGGACAGATCCTGGGGGCCATTCGGCCAGTGAGTGCCTGGGAGGCCTCCTCATAATATAGTGGGGTGGGCTACCCTCAAGGCTCACTGACCATCAACCGAAGAAATATAAATATCTTGAATAGGGCCGGGGGGTCAGGTCTGCATAACACCCCAAACGGACGTCAAGGGGCCCAACCTGTTCGGTCAAGCTGAACCTGATGCACCACACGCGGCGTCAAGCCAAAACCTTGGACATGAGCGAACGGCTGGACTTTGCACACCTTCGTCCGCTTGACCGGCGAGGCGCCTGACCACCTCGACGTCCATTTGTTGGTGGTTCTTCCGAGGAAGGCGCTCTTTGACCCTCGGCCCTGCTCAAGAAATACCCGAAGGGCCCCTGGAGCACAGAGCAGATGGCGAAATGCGAGATTGACTAGAAGCTCGGAGGATGCGCCAGTGGTCGTAGCAACTTCAGGGGGCCCGGCGCCACCATTTTGTTGTGGGTGCAAGCGCGTGAATGCTTGAGTGACGCGTGATGACGCCGATGGCGAGGGAGTTCAGGGGAGGGGAGGGCAGCAGCAGGGAGGATATAATGCAGTAGAAAGTAAGCGAGGGGAGGACTCGCGAGGGGGAGCGGAGAGGGAGAGGGAAGAGGATAACGGTGGGAGGGAGATGAGGAAGGAGGGGCAAAGAAAAGGAGGCGGAAAAGGAGAGAAAACCCCAGATACACAACGATGCTGGCATACACCCTCCCGTCTCAAGCCCCTTCCTCAAAAGTCTCTGCAAGCGGCATTTGCAACGGGAGGCGCCCGTTTGAAATACGAGCGCTCCATGAGCCTGTCATTCAAATGAGAACCGCGCTTGGAAAAAAAACTCCATACGCTCAACTGTTGAACAACGGCCAACCTCTGGTCACAGTGCCAGAAGGGGCCTCAATGGAAGCGAACATTTGAAAAGGGACTGCCCTGCACCCGTGTGACTGTTGCACGTGTTTCAACTTCTGGTCAATACACCTACGGAGACATCGACATCGAAATAACAGACGAGAGCGCAAGTTTGACAAGGAGCCGGCATCCGCCCTTGCAACGCCCCCCCCTCCCCCTGCGTTTCGAGCTGTTGTTTTTTTCCCGGGGAGGAGTGTTCGACCTCGGGGCCGAATCGTATCCGTCTGCTCGTGCTTTGCTGGGTGTGGCCAGGGCCAGGCCTGTGGCTTCGGCGTGCAACTTCGAGAGAGGGGCGTCGCCGTGCCGTCGGCCAAACGTTTGGTTGCGCGGGCCTCGCAGAATCTGGCTCGTGATCACAAGAGAAGGGTCGCACCCTGCCTTTTTTGACTGCTGGTGCTGTGTGGTGGGGGGGGGGGCATCTGTTGCCGGTCCCCCCCCCCCCCACAGCACCAGCACTGAAGGGCGGAGGCCCTGTCCAACCCCCCTCCCCCCTCCCCCGGCGTTGCAATCGCTTTGCCTTGGCACTGCGTTGCGTTCCCATTGCATTTCCATCGCACTGCGTTGCATTGCCTTGGCACTGTAATGCAATCGCATTGCTTTGCAATTGTATTGCATTGCAGCGCAATGGCATTGCATTGGCATGGCATTGCAATCGCACTTCACTGCGTTGCATTACATCGCATTGCACTTGATTGCATTGCATTGCCGTCCTCCCTCCTTCTCCGTTGCCCCAGACCCAGGAGGGAGAAGGGAGGAGCAGTGGGGTGGTGAGACGGGGGAGGGCCCGCATCCTTCCTCCTCCTCCTCCTCCTTCTCCTCCTCCTCCTCCTCGTCCCCCTCCATGGAACCCGAATTCAGGAGTGGGACCAGAGGAGGAAGAGGGACGACAAACAGGCCCCATGTCGTCTGCTCGTACGTGGATTGCATTGCATTCGCCTCCCTCGGTCCCCTTTAGGGAACAGGTAAGGG